CCTTAGTGGGCTATGAAAATTTAATGACAAGTTATTGGTGTGATCAGATAAATCAGTGTTATCGAAAATATTTTATGAATTAAAAAACAAAAAAATTATAAAACTAAAACTATTTTACTTTACTACTGACACTTTTAATACAAATAAAATACACAAATAAAACATATTACAACAAATGTTCAAAATGTCCTCCATTAGCTTCTAAACACTTTAATAATCTTTTTTCCACTTGATCCGTTGTGGCTTTTCTTATAGTCTCAGCATCCAATTCGTTAAAAGCAATTTGTACTTTTTGTTCTAACTCTTCTCTATTGTTTATTTGGGTATTATAAACTTTGTTTTTAATATGACCCCACAAAAAAAAATCTACTGGAGTTAGGTCTGGCGATCTTGCGGGCCAAAGCCAAGGGCCATTTCGACCTATCCATCGATCATCAAACAGCGCTGTGATTTCTCGATATATTGCATATGTTGAATGTGCTGGGGCACCATCCAATTGGTACCAAAAATTATTATTTGGCAGTTCATTTATAATGTTTGCCACAACTTCTCTTAGTATTCTACCGTATCTTTCTGATGTCAATTTTTCGTCGTATATGTAGTAGAAAGCTCTTCCGAATCCAATAACTGCAAATACATTAAAGCTGAATTCATATTGAAACTCGGCTTCGCGATGAAAATGAGGGTTAGCGTCTGCCCAGAAATGGCATTGCTTTCTATTGATAATTCCTCGACGTGTGAATTTTGACTCGTCCGACCATAAAATTTTGTTTAAAATTTCAGGATCATCTTGAATCCGTATCATTAGCCATTCGCAATATTCAATTCTTCTTAAATTATCACCAACTCGCAACTCGTGAACTTTTCTTTGAGCGTAGGGATGCCATTTATTTCGAGCTAAAATTCGATGTACTGATGCTCTACTAATATTTAAATGCTCTTCTGCCATTCTTATTGACGCGTGAGGATAAGCACTAAAATATCCCAGTACATTAATTACATTAATTTCATCATCTCTAATGAAACATTGACGGTCTCTTCCTGGATTTTGTACAAAATTTTTCAAAAAATTTGCTTCGATTCTGTCAAATTTTTGTTTATTCATCGGTGGTAAATGCGGGCATCTTTCATTAAATAACCGACAACTCCTACTTTTTACACGGTTACATTCACCATGAATATAAAATAAATTTAAAATATCTTGGTTAGTATACTCTACAAGACCTTCCATCTTAGTTAACAATCAAACGTAAGTAACTTAGACTTAAAGTAATTGACAACTATAAAATAATTCAATACCATGACAGATTGTCATTAAATTTTCATAGCCCACTAAGGAAAAAAAAAAGAAAATTAAAATAAAATTGGTAGTGATGTAATTAAACTTCAATTTACTCGAAATTGATAAGAGATAGGTATAGGGAATCCTTATATGGATTGAAAGGGCTTAAAAATATCTATTGTATAATGCCTAAAAATACAGGGTGATCCATTTGAAATAACAAAGTTATGGCCACTTGAAATTAGCCAAGTTAGTCTGATAATTTTAAACGCCCTGTATATGAACCATGAAAATACAGTTTAGTTTCATTTAGTACTATGTCTGGACATTATCAATAACAAATTTCAAACTTCTAGGTGCATTATTAACGGAGATATCCTAGAAAATACGTTCGACCGTTTTTCCAAAAAAATTCGAAAAAAACTAAATAACTTAAAAATGATGCATTTTTGAGATATGGTTGTATTATCAAAGTCTAGTTAAAAAGGGCCACAGAATCCAAAAATGAAGTCAAAAATGGTACTTTCCATTTGAAATAACAAAGTTGACATCTACTTCCGGTATAACCGGAAGTCACATATGGTTGAAAATATTTTAGAAAAACTCACAACATTGAATATACCTTACTCCTGAATTTTCAGATTTGTAACTTTTCAGGAACTCCGAAAGGTTCTAATGCCCGCCTTACGTGGGACACGGTGTAGATTTGTAATCAGTTCGGAAAAATCATTTTAGTTACGACCAGCTATAAACCTTCATAAAACCAAAACGGTTTCACTGTGTTATCAATTACATCAATTATTTACCTGGTAACGTCACTGGTGTTCGGTTAATGAGAGTAAAAATTGGCAAATCGCCCACACAATCTGATTCATTTTGGCCGAGAGCCACTTTAGAGAGACTAGACTAGACATTGCCACCGGGACTTCGATTGCCTTCACTACACCCCCTCGTATTTTTATAAACGCGCGATTCGAACTGTTCCTGCTTCGAATGCAGAAGGAACTTATAATTAGAGCTCGGATAATATGCATTAAAAATGCGACAAAATGTGCATTTATTTGGTCTATTATGCAAGTTTTTTTAGCTTGTACGAATTACTTACTTTTAGGAGTTTCGGGGCATTTTTTTAAGATACTCTATTTATTAACTAATATTTACTTTAATTTTTTAACAAACTGTTTAAATGGATGATCGTTAAATTTATTATTGATAGTGTAGGTATTTAATTGGATGGAAAATTTGGTGAAGACATGAAGGAAACTTCTTCTTCTTCTTCTTAATTTATTGGCCTCCACATGAAGGAAACTTTATTGAAACTAAACTTTTGACTCGAGGTATTTGGAATACCTAGATTATTTTTTTACTGCAGAGAGAAGAATGGAAAGAATATTGAAAAAATTATCGACAATACAATGATATATTTTCGGTAGATTACCGAGTGAACAAAATAAATACATAGGTACTTAAGTAGATAACATAAATAAACTGCTCGACAAAAGTTAAGGAAGTTTACAAATTTTGCGATTATTTTAAAAGTTACAGACTTTTTGATCACCAAATTTCCAAATATGCGAAATTAAATGAAGAGCCAGGAGGAATAACGATGATAGTCCATCAAACAAAAAATCGATAAATCGATAAAATTAAGTTTGAAACCATTATATATTTAGCGTAAGAAACTATTCACTGAATAAAAAAGTACTATTAGGTAGTTCTACGATATTACTACACGAAAAAAAAATGTAATTCCCTAGAAAAATGAAAAACAAAACATTCTAGCAAAGTTCACAAAAAAACTAAGAAAGAAAGTACATCTAATTTTATTTCGATTATAACTTTGGACTGTCAACTTTGTTTCCCCTTATACTGTAACATAACAAAGTGGATGCTATAAGCTTCGTTTTGCCTTAAATACTTTATTTTTTGTTAAATGTGAACTTTCATCGTTATTCCCCCCGACTCTTCAAAAGTTTTCTCTCATATCTGATTGGATTTTTTGCCCCTACCTCTACAACTCATACTAAATTTGACAATCAAAAAACCTGCGAATTTTAAAATTAATCTCAATATTTGTAAACTTCCTTAACTTTTGCGGAGCAGTATATTACCAAAATTGTTCATTGGATAAGCACTATCCGTTCATCTAATTTAACTAGCTCACCTGCATCCTTGAAGCGCACTATTTTTAACGTATTTTACTCTATTTTCACCGCGCCATCTACCATCATAAAACGCTCGTATTTTCGGAAAAAGCCACCGTGCACCGGCATCCGCATCTAATTAATCGCCTTCATTAAAACCCGTCCCGTTTTCGATTTCGCGTTAATTTACCGTTCTCCCGAATCTTCCGAAAGGCGGCCACCGACGGAAAAAAATCCCCGTCGGGGCTCCTTTGGGCGCCTTTTCGGTCCTGCGACGAACGCGGGCACGCGTGCTGAATATTAAATTTTCAAACAATGCCGAGGAATCCGCTAATAGTTCGATACCAAATATGTACTTCGGCCTGGCGAAACATGTCCCGCAACCGCCACAGCGGCGTCCCCTGCAGCTCTCTTATCACTACCACAGTTTTTTTTTCACCTAATTTGATCGGCCGATAGATTAATAAAACTATTTGTGGAATTCAAGATGCATCGCGAACTCATATCTCGTGCCAAAATGATACCAAAAATCTGATCTAATCGTATCATATTTTGCAAAATATACTGATAACATACAATGAATGTGGGAACTGAGGAACTCCAGTTATTAGCCGGGTTACGGCGCTGGTTTGGAAGAGCTCACCGGCAGCAGAAGAGCCGCGATCCGATTATATGCAGAATTGTATTTTAATTTTGTCGCGATCTCTCATAAACATGAGCCCGCGGACGGGATGACGCCCTTTTAACATTTTTTCGAAACGGCATTTTTACATAAATCAGCGCCAGTTCGGGGCGCAAAAAACCGGCGACAAAGCCGGGCAGAAGAGACCCGAAGAATAGGAATATCGGACGAAAAGGAAAGGAAAACTTCATGGGACTCTTTTTTTTTTTGATTCGGGTGTTCCCAGCCGATCCGGCGGCGCGGGGAAAGGGTACGCACGATCGTCAGAATGCTCCACCAGTCAGCTTCGAAGCATTTGAAGAATCCTCGCTCTGTCATGATTAATTTATGAAGAGCGCGTCGTTATCGACGGCGTAGACGCGAGGCCAGACGATTTACAGTTACGGATCCGCAGTTGGGGAATTGCGAAAATTTCGCTCTTTATTTTATATGCGAAATGCGCCCGAAAATAAAAGAGATCGACGCGAGACGGCTCTCGCGATTTGACGGATTTTGAGGAGTTCTGCGAAAAAAAAAAACCGACGCGATTTTCGGCGGGCATTTCAGGTATGCCTTTTGCGGGATCGTCGGGCCGGCGAAAATAATTGCTAATTTGAATATAAAATCGCGGTCGGGCCGGGTTCAATGGGGCAAATTCAAACGGTTTAATTAGCACGGCGCCTTTGGTTCATTAGCAGGAAGCAAAAAGGTTTTTTTTATCTATCTCCAGGCAACTCTCAAACATCCAAAATTCGTAAATTCTTCAAAATATAGATCCTTAAAACACCTCATCATAATATAAATATTATATAAACCTTCTGGATAGATCTCTACCAAATTTTGAACAAAAATTAGTTATACTTACTAATTTTGTTGTGTGAAAAATTGTCGATGATTGGTTGTGCTTTTTTAGAACCAACGAAACCCGTAGTGGAATTGAGAGAAATCGAAGAGAATAAGAAGAAGGAGCCGAGAAGAAGGAAGCTGGTGTGTAGCGTGAAAGGGTTCCCGCCTCCGAAGATCACGTGGAGGCGGCGGAACGAGGTCCTGCATGATAGCAGTTCGTTCAAAATTCTGTACAAAAGGTGAGTTTCAATTGAGAAATTTTATGGGAAGTTTGGATTTTTGCGGAAAACGCGGCCATTGAAACCTGCTGCTAGATGATAGAACTTTCCCTTAAGTCCAGTAATAACAATGAAAACTCGACAACAGCGCTCCTGAAACGCTTCAAGACGCCTCCTATGAGGATTTTTTTTTGGTAGCTTCAATGACCCATTTTACGCAAAAATCGATTAAATTGTTCGTTATATTAAAACTGAGTCTTTGTTGTTGCAAACCAGTGATGAAGACTGGTAAGTTATTTGAGTTTTGTTTGTTGAAAAAGCAAAAAAAAAACAGCTAAAATAACCGAATTGGCACATATTTTTTTTATTTTTTAGTAGATACTTCACGTGTAATAAACAAAAACGTTAATAATTGGCATTTTCATTCGTATATACATGAATTTTTGCTTTTTTCCCAATAACAACGATTTTTTGGCATGCTCGATGTTTTCCTACAATCGATTTATAGATTGAACATATCGATTATATCTCAAATTTCTTTGTCGTTTTTCTAGGAGGCAGAGCAAGCTGGAGATCAAGAAGGCGGATGCAGAGCATTTTGGCCAATATTATTGCATTGCAGAAAATGCCAAGGGAGAAACGACCACGAGAAATTACACCTTTTTGCCTCCACCCAGTGAGAGCGGTATATTTACGAAACTACTATCTCTCTTTAATTCATTCAATCGAAATTCATTGCTATTTTCCTTTGCCTCTTTTTTAAAATTTTCCTCTATTATACAAACTATATCAAACTTCTCAAACGTTGTAATTATGTAGTCAGCATTCTTTTATTATATGGGTAAGTGCAAATTTGTTCCCAATAAGGTCAATGTGTTGGCACAACAATTTTGCATCTGCCTGTATATGTAGACTTTTATAATAGGTACGAAACCAAAAGGAAAATTATGAAAAAAAAAAAGCTTCTAAACTTTATGCTTCCATGTAAAACATATACCTGTACCTACTCTGGTTGAAATTACAAAGAAAAATTGTTCCAAATTAAGTACCTACATAAGTACAAATAATAGAAGTATATTTTCCTATAGTTATTGCTACAAAAAATACAAGGAAACGATTTTTCTTTCGCCTTCCAATTTAACAAAACCTATACCTCATCGAATGTAGCTTGGCTCTCTTGGCTTGCTCATTTCCAACTGCCGAGCTACATTCGACGAGGTACACACCTTTGCCTTAATGTTCCCCTATTAATGAACGATAATCTATTTACAGATAAGGAATGTAAGGAAGAATTAAAAGCCGTGTTTTGTTCGAACGGCGGAACGTGCTTCTTCGAGCCAGTGATAAACGAGCCTTCTTGCATGTAAGTTTTAATTCGGGAAATTCGGGGGAAAACCCCGGCGCAAATTACTCTAAAGGAAATTTTTTTTTTTCGATTTGTTGCAGTTGCCCGGAGGGTTTTACCGGGAGGCGATGCGACGAGAAGACCCCGAGCAATACCAGTATGTATCCACAACCTGATCTATACTCTTGTAAATTAGGCCTAGCGACAAAATACAATTGCAAAAATAACTGACCCGAATTAATCGAGTGGCGGACATTTTTTTTTTGTTTTTTTTTCGAAAAGACGGCCGGATCCGAACATTTTCATTCGAAAAGAAAACGTGTAAATTGTTACCGATATGTACATAATGCAGACATGATATAGAAACGGCGGAAAAGAGGACTGTGTATATTTGTAATAAACTATCCTAAATGTATAAGACTGTTAAATGAATTAATATTGATGGTTTATGGAGACAGTTAAAGCAGTCGTTTATTTTGATTCTAAGCTTTTTACCAAAATTCTCCCTTGTTACGCCACTGGGCGCTTCGATTGTTTTAATGCGAGGTTGCGCCAGGCGCTCAACGGAAGGTAATATAACTATGAAATTATACTCCGTTCGCTATCATGAGATAAATTTATATGCAAAAATTTACTCTCAATAAAAATGTGCATTTTAGATGTTGCGTTGAAAGATTATTAGAAATTTATTTTGCATTAGTTTTTTAAGTAGATTTCAAAAAATGCAATAAAATATAGGGTGTCCCATAATTTTCATAACTTTATATTTTTATATCGAAAATGGGTCAACCTGTATGTGTCTAATTATTAATTTTATATTATACACGTAGGCATTTAAGCAGAAATCTCCTGAAAATTCCGTTGAGCATGGCATGCCCTGTATATAAAATTCGAATTGATACGAGGGGTAATAGACAAATTGTTGGTAAAATGATTAGCTGTATACCTATAAAAATCAGGGACCGGTATTTACATAATTTTTTTTGTATAAAGTCTTGTAGATATTATTATATTATTTATTTATTACATCTTTTACTCACAACAAAGATATCCGAGAAAAGAAACTTATAACAAAAAAAATATACAATAGTTGTAAAATTAATAAACAAACGTTAAAAAAATTGTGTTATTTCGCTATCAAAAATCCTTTTCGATGAACCTGGAAATAATCTCCGTATAGGTACGTAACGAAAGTTTTGCCTGATTTTTTTATTTATTTTTATAATGTATTTTAATTTTTTGTTGTTTTTTTAAATTAATGTATTAACAAATTAGTCGTTTCCAAATATCTAACTTTACTAATTTTAATTTTTCTACTAGACACCTATACTTTTTAGATTTGTTGTGAGTTCCAGATGTATTTTAACATGAAACCCTGTATATGCATGCTATATGTAGTTTTCAATCATTCAATTAACGGCGTTCGATTGGCATTTTAAGTTTCCTAAAACCGAGTCTGAAATTATTATTAATCCGAATTATTTCATTATCCCTCCAAGGAGGCAAAATTAACCCCTGCATTAACATTAATACTTGGATTTTTTCAGATACTGAATATACTACAGTGAGTTTTCGTAGTTAAATTGTTCGGTAAGGACCTTATCAAATCGACTTATCAACATTTCGACTTCTTTTTTTTTAATTACGAATTTGCCAGTTGCATTTGTACAAAATTTACTAGCAGTAGTACATCGAAATTTATACTCCGTTCGCCAACGGGAGTTAGTAATAAAACCTAAAAACAAAGTATTGTTTATTGTACTTTATTTATTTATTGGATTTTCTACTTCATAAAGGCTTTTTACTATCTCCCGATGGCGAACCGACTATAATTAAATAGCAATTTTCTTAATGACTAACAGCATGTCTCACTGATTTTAAATGAGCTTCTAGTACGCTTCTAGTACTATTTCGTTGCTATTTCTAGTGCTATTTCGTCTCATTATCGTCATTTTCATTTTCCACTGTAATTGTCCGTTGTTTGTTTAGGATTCTTGATGAAAGAGTCGCCGAGGAAAAACGGAAGGAAATCGCGGAATTGATGGAAGATGTTATACTAATACCAAAGAATTTACGCATTAGTACGCAAAAATGTACATACATAGTAATACAATGTCTTTTTTTAAAATGCGGACGATGTAAATACTCACAACCTAATATTTATTTTATAATTTTATTGAAAAATATAAATTACAATAGCTGTGACGTGGATCTGGATGGGAAGATGGCGTTTGGATAGAGTAGAAATTAAGGCAGGATTTCCGAAAAATTGCAAAAATATAGCAACAAATTAGTTATCAGGTTAAACTGTTTTTATTTGCTGTGGGGATGTGTTATTTGTTTATATTCAAATGCTGCATTAGATTTGTCCTGTTAGGTTATCAACACCCTGCATACTGTTTTTTTTTTGTAAATATGTGTTTAAGGATACTCGCGATATGTGATATAGCGTCGAATAGCCCAACAATATCTTATTATTTCTAATGTTATTTATCGAATTCGAATCTCCGCTTGTCCGGCTATTCGTCGTGTTGTAGTTAAGTTTTTATTATTATTACATGTGCTTGTAAAATTATTTATTTATAAGCTAATAAATACATATGTATATGCAAATATTTAGCTGTTAGATGTTAATTTTTTTGTAGAACAAAAAACGCGTTGTTGTAAAATAATTTATTCGAACTGAAATTTGTAATATTATGTAAATTTCTTTATGAAAAATCCGTTAATATTACAACCCCTTATTATTACACTTGCGAGAAATATTGTATTTTGAAAAATATAACTATAACCATGAATGAAATTGTAATTTAAAAGATTTAAAGGAAACTATTTTGAGAGAACATTCGCCAAATTGTTATTTTTATTATTTTCTAATGAAATATTCGTTTGGGAAAGCTGTAGATGTGATAAATTAAAACAACACTTTCTCTGTGAATTTACAATACATTCAGTTTTTTTCCTGTTTTGAAAAATAATACTGACATGTAATTCTGCGAATTCGAAATTTTTAAATCTGTACCACACCAAATGTAGCTTGGCAGTTGAAAATTAGCAACAGAATTTGTAATTTAGCTAACTGCAGGAATAAATTAAAAATTCGTTTTGAAAATTTGAATAATTTGAACATTATGAACAGGGTGGTATTATTATAAATAAGCATTTTATGTACTAAAGTGGCCTGCTTTGGGCATGTTAACGTGATAAATAATTAATAAATTAATTTGTAATCCATCTGAAAATAAATAAACTTCACCACTGGAATTCTTGCGATATTTACCCTTCGATTAATGAATATCAATTGAACTCTCTTAACCTACCCTCTTCTATTCTTTAAATTTTTCTACTGCGCACTTGACTTCTTAAAAATTCCAAATGCCAAGCTAGATTTGATGAGGTAAGTTGTAAATGTAATATCCCTTCTAATACTGTTTATATGAGGCTTGATGTTGCAAAAAAACGAAAATATCTCATTTTACTGTAGTCTATTAACCATATAAATCTTGTCGCAATTTTAGTATTTATTTAATATTGTTGTTAAATTCGCGGGCTTCTACGATGTCGCGCCTCATATTAAATTTACTTACACACTATTTTGTTGATTTTGTAACGCAAAAAGTATGAAATTTACAGTGATGAGAGATTTATTCGATATAATATGTATTCAATTACAATAAATATTAAATTGATGCACTTATTTTATTACGGCGAGAACGGTGATTCATTATTTTCTTTTACTGAATTTATTACTATTTTTTTGGAACTGCTAGATTTACTAATTAGGCAGTTAAGTCGTTCACTAAATATGCAAAGTAACGAATATTTTTTATCTTAATACCGTAAACTTGTTTTACTTGCTTGTAAATAAAGCATAAAAATAAGAAAAAAATTAAAAACTTACATGTCGCAATTTACGATGAATTTCTGCACAATTTCGCCGTATAATTCACACTTTAACGTCCACAATGTGTTTTTGTCAATTTAAACCGAGAAACACGTTCAATTTTCTATTTTCACTTACATTATTTACAACTAATAAAATAAAAATTTGACATTTGAAACTGTCAATTTGAATTGACTTGAGGCGTTGCCAGATTTTCAATTTAACAACTCTACTTAACGTTGAAAAAATTATGGGTGTAGTGTAGAAAAACGCGTAAAATATGAAAATTTATACAAATATTTGTAAAATATTTTGATCCCGTAAAGGAGCGCAACTTCTAATGCGCATAGAAAGAACGAAGGCGGTTTAAAAACACCGTTGCCAAATGTCTTGAAATTTAGTTTATGTTTTTGCATGATTTGGTTTGTTTATTATCAGACTATCAGGTAAAAAAAATTAAAAATATTTAAACTTATTACAATAAACTTAAAACTTAAATATCATTTTTGTAAGTAACTATAGTCTCCATTTTGTGTATATTGGTGGAGAACGATCTCATTTTGACGCTTTGCGCGTTTTGTATCACAGCAGGCGCTGTTTCGTTCCATTCCGATGGCATGTCGATGTCCCCTTTCGTGTAAATTTGCACGTCGAAACTGCACAGGCAATCTAACAGAGGTAAATAAGACACCGAGGCGGATATTTGCTTGAGGATCTCCCTGATTTCGTTCCGGATTTGCTTGATGGGCTTCGATGAAACCTTATCGGGATTGGTGAGGGTGTCTTCTTCGTACTCTACGTTGAAATCCCACCGTTCTAATACCTCTAAAGTGGCTACGTTCGCTATAACCAAGACCACTTTCTTCACTGCCTTGTCTACTAGCCAATCTACAATAAATATGTATTAATTAAACGGTATTTCATACAAAAACATAAGCATAATATACTTCGTAATTGGTCCAAAGTTTTCAATAAGAATTCTTTGATTTTATTATCCGTAGTCATCCAAAGGGTCACCCCGTAGTTTTCGTCCGGTTTGAAATTTTCGGGCGGGTACAGACCCCGTTGAAATAGAATGGAATTGATGCCGTAATCTGGAGAAAATTCCGGGAAATGAGGTTTGTACACAAAAGAACTGCATACTTACTCAAATAGTCGCAAACAATATCGGCTGAACCTTTCACTGTGATGGCAGATTGAATATCTTGCGCTGCAGAAGTCATTTTTTGATGGTATAGAACGAGGAAGGTGGTTTTATTGAGAGGTATTCGGGAAAATGTACACAATTAATTTTTTTGAAATGGAGCCGTTAGAATAATGTGCCAATGTCAAAACTGTCAAAAGTGTCAGTCAATTTTAAATAAAAAAGAAGATTTAACAACATAAGTGAGAAATTATGAATAATTTTATAACAAAATAGTGAGTACAATTTGTAATAAGTATTTCGCAAAATATATTAAATATAAAAGAGAAACAAAGAAGAAAAATTAAGTGGGCTAAATAACTTACAACAACGAAGACACGATTTTGACAAATGATAACTCTAACCTTATTGTTGAAAATCGAAAATCACACTCACAAATAAAACAAATATACACGAGTTAATTCGTTACTCAATAAAATAGTGAATAGAAATCAATACTGTATATTCACATTTCGAATTCAAATCGGTGTATGTATCAAATACAATTAATTGTATTTATTTTTTTAGCATTCCTAAATTTTCATCCATTTATCTATCGAGTACTCCAAGGCAGCTATCCATCTGCAAAAAAAACAAAAATTCCAGTTATTATTCAACAATAATAAGTGGATTTTCACCTCTTTTTATCAGCATCAGAGTCCGCATGGAAATAATAATGTTTCTTCGTGGAGTCCGCCGGGGCGATTTCGAACGCATATTTTTTAGTTCCTGACAGATACTGCTGCACTCTGTACCCATGTAAATACGCCACTCCTATAAATTAATGAAACTTACATTAAAATACATTTTTATATATCGTAATTATAACGTACCGAAGGCACTCTTCGCATTGGCCTCCTGATAGAAATAAAGACAAGCATCTTTCAATATGCAGTATCTCCTACTCCAGCTCTTCCATTGCGTGCCCAATTTCACCAAATAACCGAAACAATCGGGCTCTTTCACCTCGCACGCCGGCAAACTCAAATCCCCTTTGGTCCGCTCCAAAAACCCATCGATCGAATTCTTCCTCTTGTCCCCCATCAATTTACCCATCTCCTCGATCCACTTCTCTTCCAAATCGAGCGACTCCGCCGCCAAATACAGCGGCACCCCCTCGTGCTTTTGCACGACGAACACGTTCGCCTTGAGATCGGATTCCATCCGCCGGATCTCCCGGTTCTGCAACAACGTCACGTCCACCGGGTGCTTGTCCGCGTCGGTTTTGTAGCAGTACAAACAGCCGTTTTGCTTCAGGCAGAACCAGCGTCTCAGCCACCTGCGATTGTCGCTGTTGCCGCTCGCGTACCCGCTCAATTTCCACAGGTACCCGCTGAACAGCGCCTTCGATGTGTCTTCGTCTCGTTGCGGCGTCAGCACGTAGCAGGTTCTCGCTACCTGTGGACCAATTGTATCGGTGAATTGTCGGCGAACGAACGAATAAATCAATCCTACCTCCATTGTTAGTGTATCGCTTCCTGCATGGGCTATTTTCACGATCTCCGAATGGTTTTTGTCGAGCACGCTCACCCCGTTCACCGATAACACGATGTCTCCCACCTCTAAACCGGAGGTTTCAGCTGGGGTTCCCGGCTCGATGGCGGAAACGACCACCGGTTTCGAGCCGTGTATTCGGAAACCGAACTCGCCCGATTCCCTGCGAACCACCACGGTCTTGTCGCAATCTGCAAAAGAAAATGCAATGTTATTGATATGTTTTTGTAGGGTAGGGTAGGGTAGAAGGTCTAGGAAGTAGGGTATTGCATAGGGAAAGGAGGGATTTGGAATGGGTAAGATTTTGGAGAGATTTTGGAGCTTCTTAGGGCGGTTTTGAATCGTAAGGAGGGGTAGGGTAGGGCAAGATCTTGGAGAGATTTTGGAGATTTTTAGGGCGGTTTTGAATCGTAAGTAGAGGTAGGGAAGGGCAAGATTTTGGAGCTTTTTGGAAGGGTTTTGAGTCGTAAGTAGAGGTAGGGTTAGGCAAGATTTTGGAGCTTTTTGGAAGGGTTTTGAGTCGTAAGTAGAGGTAGGGTTGGGCAAGATTTTGGAGCTTTTTGGAGCGGTTTTGAATCGTAAGTAGATGTAGGGAAGGGCAAGATTTTGGAGCTTTTTGGAAGGGTTTTGAGTCGTAAGTAGAGGTAGGGTTGGGCAAGATTTTGGAGAGATTTTGGAGCTTTTTAGGGCGGTTTTGAATCGTAAGTAGAGGTAGGGTAGGGTAAGTTCCGTGTAACTCAACACGAATTCATACGAACCTTTGAGGGCTTCTTTATTCCTGCACCAAAGCAGTAACATAACTTTCAGTAGTTCTTCGAGTTTAAGTTTCAAGTCCGACCGACCTAACAGGTCCTCCATGATTTTATTTCCGTAATTTAGGTCGAATTTAAATTGATAATCGAGAGGTAAAGAAACCGCGCGCTGCACCGGTCGTGCTTTGACGGTAACAACGTAAATCTATCGAGTATTATTTTTTCCGCGGGAACGTTAAGAGATTCTTAAAATAGCGCAGATATAAATTCGTATGTTCTATATTTACCTGCAATAACGAGCGAATGCGAATTGTATAATACCCGAAAATATACACTTTCGAATAATTCGATATAAACTTCACGCAAAAGAAGCTAATTTTTTTTTCTACTTACCGAACGATTTGTTAGTCTGTCGTTTGTACATTTCCAAACAGGATTTCCGATGGACCATCCTGTGAGTCACGGCTTGGAACTTCCTTCGAAACTCCCGCTCCGATTCCGTGCTGGAAACCGAGTCTTTGCGCGAAGGTTTATCTGCAAACACACCAAAAATTTCATCCCCGATCCACAAACCGAAAAAAATGATCCTCACCGCTTGGACTGGAGCAAGACATCCTGGATAGAACCTCGTCTCTTTCGTCGATTTGTATCCAGCAACCTTCCACGTACGGGGCATCGTACACACCCGTATCATCTTCCGTTTCCGGGTCTCCGGGTAAAACGCTCGGACTGGAATCGGCCCCTTTCAACAGCTCCTCCGATGACTTCTCCGTAGACCTCAGCTTGCTGCGATAGGTGTTCGCTCCTCTTTCTTCCGACTAGAATCGTCCAAAATAAATCCAAATCTGCATAATGGATTAGTGGATTATACAGGCTCACCTTCGCCCTCACTTCGGTCTTGTACCGGTTCTTCCTGTTCTCCAAATAGTTCCTCTCCTCCGATCGGATCCTGCGCTCCAGCTTCTTGAACAACCTGCCGCTGACCCGGATCCTCGGCGAGTCCTCGAACCCGGCCGGCGGCCGGACGATCTCCTCCGGGCCCGGAGCGGCGAGCGCCGCCCCCTTCTCCGGATCATCGGCGGTGACGACGTCCACCTCCTTGCCGCAGTGCAGACAGTGCACCTGGTGCTCCACGGTGCTGGGGTCGCTGTAGAAGACGCTGTCGCTGCCCGGGCTCACCGAGCGCAGCGACTCGGCGCTGAGCGCCTTCAGCTTGTCCGGTTTGGTCGCGCCGAGTCGCGACGGGGAACCGACGGGGCTGCGGAAGACGCGCGTGATTATAAAGCGGATTAAAGGACATTCGCGCTCGTTAGGTAATGACGTTATTTTTTTAGACGACGTCATTCATTTCCAAGCAGTTCGACATTTCCCTAGTGTCAATGTTAATTCTCTCATTTGACTAGGGGAATTTAACGATGCGTAGTTGAAAGTCGAAAGCGATGTTGTCATGCATTTAGTCTCAACATTCGCAATATTTAGCGGCGCTTTGTAGTTGGCACTTTGACAGGTTATGACTACAATTTGTTGTTTTTGCGCGATTTTCCTGTATTTTTTCAAGTTTACGAGTAGGTTTTGTGTTTTTCGTTCGTTCTAGATACTTTTTCTTGCGGTTTATGTACATTTATCGACAGTTTCTCCCGCGATTTTCGGTTTTTTTCGACCTATTTTGGGAGGGAACGGGACGATGTAGGCCCTTTTTTCCCGATTAATTCCCGATCAATATTTTCGATAGTTCAACACATTGAAATTTATAGGTTATGTTAAACTTACGAATAGTTTTTTATATGTATATTTCTGTTTTATAGGATTGTGAAGCGTTGCAAATAAACACCTCTCCCGTCAATCGGATTGCAGCCTAATGCATTTCTTCTTTTTAATTTCTAAACAATGAAAGTTAACATAACCTTAAATTAAATATATCTGTCACATCAAGATTTTCATTTCAACCCGGCAACGTTGCAACACGTTGGCTTGTGACGTCATTGCCTAGCGAGCGCGAATGTCCTTTAAGATGCGAATCGGGTAATACCTTTTGGGCTCCGATTGGCCGCAATCGGGCACCAGCGAGTTCCTCGGCGACGGTTTCGATGGTTTTTTTCTGGACAAGCTGTTGGGTAGGCTGGAGGATTTCTTCTCGCCGTTGGCGCCGCTTTTCTGGTGGTTAATCGGCGACCTAGGGGACGGTTTCTTCTTGTTGTTTTCCTTGGTTTTCTTGCTCCGCCTCGGTGAGTTCTGGTTGCTGAGGTGTGGATTGTCGCCGATGTCGCAGCTGGATTCCTCCGATGTGGCTTTGCGCTCCTTCTCGCAGAGGTGCTTCTTCGACGGGCCGCCCTTCCTGGGGCCCTGCATAGGGCTGCGCATCCTCGGCTTGGAGCGCTTCGGTTTATCAGCCGACGGGGAGGTTTTGTTGTTGCGTTTGTTCGATTTCCCGTTGGAAACCATCGCGTAGGATTTGGTGTTGTTGCTCGATAATTCCAAAGTGAAATCTTTGCATCTGCGATGTTTGTCCGGTTTCGGGGAAGTCCAGGAAGTCGTGCTGCGAACGTATAAAATTCGTTTAATCACCACAACGCGTTTATTTATTTATTTATACATATAAAACTACAGAACAACATGAAGTTGGTACAGTAGAGTAAAAAGAAAAAAAAAATAACATTATATAGATATTAAGAATATACAAAATAAATGATAAGGTAAATATCTAGAACTCTAGAAATCTAGTTAAAAATAAATGGAAGAAAATAAGCGATCGATTATTTGTTTAAATATTTCTTGACTTCAGTTTTAAATCTGTCCATCTTTTTTAAATTTCTCAAAGAATTTGGAAGTTCATTAAAGTTTTTAAAACAACTGTAGCTTGGTAAATTTCTGCCTTTTTCACTTCTCACTTGATATTGAATTTCAATTCTGTCTGCATTTCTGGTGTTGTAGTTGTGGATTTGTGAAGTAATTGTTGGAATGATCGAGCTTTTTAGATATCCATTTTTTATCTTGAAGGCCAATTTACACTTTTCTAAGGCTGCTGTTTTGTTGATAGGTAAAATTGGTAGAGAAGCATATAATTCACTAGTTCTAGTTTCATATGGTATATTGTATGTATTTTTTATAGCTTTATTTTGCAATCTTTGAATTCTATTTAAGTTAAATTTTGATGTATTTGACCATATTGGTATTAAGTAGAGAAGAATAGAGTGAAAGTAAGCGTTGTAGATCATTAACTTTGTTTTATTTGAAAAGTATCTGTTAATAGCTTTAACAGCTGCAACCAAACTGCCCAATTTTTTGAATATGTTGTCAATATGCTCATTCCAAGATAATTTTTCATCCACTACCAGTCCCAAATATTTATGTTCGCGAACTTTTTTAATTTCCCGATTATTTATAACGATTTGTAGCTGTGCGTGGTTTCTTCTTTTGTAATTAAATTGTATGTAGACAGTTTTTTCTTCATTTAGCAGTAATTTATTTGCACAGAGCCACGAGGAGAATGTTTCTAGATCATTATTGATTTTGGATTGTAGAGTTTCTTGATCTTTTTCCGAGTAAATGAAGACTGCATCGTCAGCAAACATTAGATATCTTGCATTCAGGTGGACTTTTTGCAAGCTCTCTACATACATTAAGTATAAAAATTAACTATGTATGTAGACAGTTTCTTCTTCATTTAGCAGTAATTTAAAATGTCCTCCGTTCGATACGGCGTACTCACTCGTCCTCCATCGGCGATTCGTAGTACCCCGACGAGGAGCAGAGCGCGCTGTTGGGCTCCTCGTCGGAGGCCGGCGCCCGCGGGCACGCTTTCTTCCGTCGCGACGGCACCGAATCGACGACGAAGCGGTCGAGCAGATCGGGCGCCGAGCCGCCCACGCTGTAGCTGCCGCAGGAGGAGCTCGTGTCGTCGGACGGAGTCGATCGGCCGGTGCGGATTTGAGGCACTGGGGTGTTGCACCGGCTGCAGGAGTCGCCTTCGTTGGGGGCGAAGGCGGGCGCGAACGACGGCACCACCATGTCCTCCGAGCACCTGGTGCTCTCCAAGCTGGACCCGCCGTTATTCAAGCGCGAAAGGTTCACGTACAACTCGGCACCCTTCGGTTAATATAGGAGAAGAGTTTGAGGGGGTATTGCATGAAACAACGGCATAATTACCTTGTTAGAACCGCTTTTCCTCGAGCTGTCGGTTCCGGAATTGGCGGTGATGTAATCGTCTGTCGTGGTGCTCTCGGATACGTCGGTGTTGGTCCTGCAGGAGTCGGTTCTGGAGAGCAACAAATCGGGAACGACAGCAGGTAAAGGGGACGATCCCGCGGCAGTTTCTGGGGTTAGTTTCTTTCTTATAGGTGCAGCATTCTCGACGGATAGGAATTGCCTGGAAGCGGGCCGGATCGGACCGGTTTTCCTGGAATTCTCCTGGAGGTGTTGCTCGGAGAGTTCCTCGTCGAGGTTTTCCGTGTCCATGGAGGATCGCTGTTGGTGTTGGATCATCAGCATGTGTTTCCTCTTCGATGAAGGGGTTAGAGCTAAAACGGGCGATGTGGCGGAATTTAATTCAGAGCTGCTCAGCACGGTTCCGTTATCGGTTCCAGAATCGGCTTGCAGGACCGTGGCTTGGGATTCGTTCCATATCCCGTCGGATTGATCTCTGGAATGAAATCGCGAATAGTTAATTTTTATACTTAATGTATGTAGAGAGCTTGCAAAAAGTCCACCTGAATGCAAGATATCTAATGTTTGCTGACGATACAGTCTTCATTTACTCGGAAAAAGATCAAGAAACTCTACAATCCAAAATAAATAATGATCTAGAAACATTCTCCTCGTGGCTCTGTGCAAATAAATTACTGCTAAATGAAGAAAAAACTGTCTACATACAATTTAATTACAAAAGAAGAAACCACGCACAGCTACAAATCGTTATAAATAATCAGGAAATTAAAAAAGTTCGCGAACATAAATATTTGGGACTGGTAGTAGATGAAAAATTATCTTGGAATGAGCATATTGACAACATATTCAAAAAATTGGGCAGTTTGGTTGCAGCTGTTAAAGCTATTAACAGATACTTTTCAAATAAAACAAAGTTAATGATCTACAACGCTTACTTTCACTCTATTCTTCTCTACTTAATACCAATACGGTCAAATACATCAAAATTTAACTTAAATAGAATTCAAAGATTGCAAAATAAAGCTATAAAAAATACATACAATGTACCATATGAAACTAGAACTAGTGAATTATATGCTTCTCTACCAATTTTACCTATCAACAAAACAGCAGCCTTAGAAAAGTGTAAATTGGCCTTCAAGATAAAAAATGGATATCTAAAAAGCTCGATCATTCCAACAATTACTTCACAAATCCACAACTACAACACCAGAAATGCAGACAGAATTGAAATTCAATATCAAATGAGAAGTGAAAAAGGCAGAAATTTACCAAGCTACAGTTGTTTTAAAAACTTTAATGAACTTCCAAATTCTTTGAGAAATTTAAAAAAGATGGACAGATTTAAAACTGAAGTCAAGAAATATTTAAACAAATAATCGATCGCTTATTTTCTTCCATTTATTTTTAACTAGATTTCTAGAGTTCTAGATCTTTACCTTATCATTTATTTTGTATATTCTTAATATCTATATAATGTTATATCTTTTTTTCTTTTTACTCTACTGTACCAACTTCATGTTGTTTTGTAGTTTTATATGTATAAATAAATAAATAAATAGATTAGAGAGTTTATCTAGATGCGCTTACCTTCCATCATTCGCCAAAGAATCGTTAGATGTAAACGGCGATAGTTTAGCATGAGGCAAGAAACTTATCGACGGCACAATCGAATCGTCCTTCAACCAATTCTCCATGTTAATCCTCTGCTCCTCCACGTACTCCCTGCCCAAATACGTTTTGCTGTAGATCAAATGCTCGTGGAAATCCTCATCGATCGAATCCTGCCCGTACGCCCCGTTATCGACCTCCACCGACGAGTAAACGTTCCGCTCCAACGGCTTGCAAACGCCCTCGTTCAAAATCGGCGTTTCCCGGAAGCAAGGCGCGAAAATCCGCTCGTCCTCGTCGTCCCTGCGCACGTCGTCGTGGCTCACCGAGTGGATCCCCGCCTCCGGGACGACCCCGTCATCGGAAATCCTCACCCTGCGTCGCTCCGAGAGGATCTCCCCGTCGGACAAGGCCTTCATCAGCGTCCGCTTCGAGGGCTTCTCCTCGCCGGGCGCCAGCTGGGGCTTGAAGTCGATGAAGATCTCCTGCTTGGATTCGGTGGAATCGTCGGATTTGGTGAGCGAGGAGGCGTCGCTGTCGGGCGGCCGGAGCCGGTTCGGCGGCGGTTCGGGCAGGAACGGCGAGCGCGGCGGCTCGTCGGATTGGGTGCGGTGCAGCGGCTCGTGATCGGAGGATTCGTACGGGTCCGAGTCGGCGCCGTTCGCGCCGAACTTGCCGCCGGCCTCCGAGAAGGATTTCTTCAGTTTCCTGTTGTTGAGGAAGCCGTTGGTCTGGGCGCCTTGGGAGACCATCTTCACCTGGAATTCGATTGGGGTTTTGTTGGTATAGCTAGAAGAAATGTAGATAATGGAAAACGTACTTTTTGCATTGTCCTGGGGCTCAAATTCACGTGGGGCGGTAGAGGTTTCCTGCCGAGACCAGCCTCCGTTTGCGTAGCTTGAGTTTTCATCGATATCCTTTTGATTTTCTCTAAACGAAAAACGGACAAAATCCCAACTGTTGTGTGTAAATATTACAAACTTACCGGAGAATTCTTGTTCGGGTTGTTTGGTTATAATAGGTTGAATATCCGGTTTTCTGACGTCCAATAGCCTCTCCTGGCTGTTGGTAATCCTGTTAAGATGGCCGGTGGAGTAGCTCAAAGAAGATAAAGTGCTATCGAATGAGGCGAGGGTGTGAGATCTGGCGAAACTCACGTGTTTCTTCCTAAAATCAATCGATTAAGTTGTAGCTAATTATCATCGTTTCGAAATTTTTAAATTACCCCGGTAGAATGACTGAAGAGGAAGGATTGGCCACTCGATCGTGATGGCAATTGTTCTCCACAATAGACCTGGGTTTCTCCATTTTATCGGACTCATCATCAGAGGGCATCCAGGTGTAACGACTCGGGTCTATGATGGGCTTCCTTCTGAAGTAAGATGTCTTTAGATCCTCGTCGTAATGGTATATATCTGATGTGACAGGTCCCCAGGGATATCTACCAAGCGATAAATCAATCAGTAACACAATAAATCCTGCTGGGAAAGTAATGTTATCGATTCGATAATGTATCGCAATTTTCTCGAAAATTAGACGAGATGGAAACAGCCGGTTTATTTTGCTTAGTAGAAAAAATGTTTTTCTACAATTTTTAAAGAATGGAAAATGTTTGAAAATCGCTCATTTCTCGAGATATTTCGAATATTCTACCCATTCTTCTCACAGCCTACCTGCTTCTTCTAGGATAAGGTGCATACTCCGAAGGATGTCTTTTGTACAAATCGTAGAGATTCTCATCAGACGGGACCTTTTGTCTGACGCAAGCCGTCAATAGAGAAGCCCTATTGGAGCAGGACGAGGCCCCGTGGGGGGCCGAAAGGCACCCGAAGAGGCTGTGTTTCGTCTCCAAAGCGCCCAAGCCCCTTTCGGTGATGCAATATTGCTCTCTGATGTCCTCGCGGTTGTAATGCGCACGCGCCGCGTTTCTTCTATCCCTGTCCCTCTGCTGTAATTTGCTCGTCATCTCGTCTTCTGACTCGTAAGTCAAGGCGGCGTGTTGGATGTTCGCCTGGAAAGGCGGAGGAATGAGGAATTTTTTTTTTTTGTAAATAGATGCTTGTGTATAATAAAATTCTCACCTGTGTTGATACATCGAAGTGATTAAGTACCATCCTGTTACTGCCCGGCAATCCTGCAAGTTGCAAAGTTGATGAAAAACATATACAGGATGTTTCTGAATATACGCGAAAATTCGTGGATTGAAATTTTGTGTGAATTTTTTGCCCATCAATTTTGTAACACCTCGCCTACGCAGGAAAACTCATTTCTCTGCCGGATGTGCAGGAAATAGTGACCTAATGGCCTTTTACATGAAAGAGTAGGTAATTCGTCATCTCCGGTAGGGTAAAGGCGTAAGAGCACTCGAATAGAAATGGTTTCATTTCGTTTTTGATGAATGTTTAAATAAGGTCCTTTCATAAAAATATCCTTCTCGCATTTCTGTGTCGCTTATTCATAATCTACACGATATTTTCATATATTTTTGAGCTATGTAGGTTTAGAGAAACTGCACTAAAAATCGGTATAACAAATTATTCAACTGATTTAATCGATCTAAATTCGCTCAAAATTCGCCCTTAATAGTAAATTAATGGTGAATAAATAAGAAATATTGTATAAAAATAAAATTTACCTGTAGGATGATAATCCATGTCTCTAGCATTAGCTCGTCTTTTCGGGTACCTAATAAAAATGCAAATAACAATTTATTCCGATTCTAAATAGTATTATTTTTTGTCTAAGAATTTTCATTAATTCGATTATTATTCATACTATAGTGTTATAGTGTTTATTATCTATTATAAATCACCCAAGAAAGCAAATTTTCACTGGAATTTTCCGCAATTTCTATAAAATTCACATCAACACCTACCCCGTTTTCCTCACTTTTTTTTCACGAAAATTCTTACATAACGATGCATCCCACAGGCATCTAGATCAACTGATCAAAAATTAACACAGGTATCTAGATCGAAATGAACTTACCTTAAATATCCCAAAACGGTTTTATTTCGAGCTTTTCCCACTAATAATTAAATACATTTTTCCACGAAAAACATTCGCACTAATTCCAAGTTACAAATACATCAAATTTTATTCTATTTATTTTTCTCGTTGGCCCCGCAAAATTCTATTATAAATTTATATGTATGTACTCTCGAAATATCTGTATATAATATGTAAATAATCATCTAAATCTAATAAATAAAATTTTGATCTATATAATATATGTTTAATAGGCACCTAGTTTACTGCATTTTTTTTTTTCTCTAATAACATTCATCAACTTACTTGAGCACAATTTAGAGCACAATATTAATTTTTTTCCTGCTTTTTATAAATCATTTCGTTTAAAATACAATAATTTTAAATTTGTTGTATTATCGATTTCGTTTTATAAATATCCCTCTAAATTTTACATGGAATTTTTTAGTCTCTTTTTGATTTAGATAATTCGTAGTTTTCGTTACGTTTTTTTTATTCTTATTTAAATTTCTCGTTAAATTTTATTCTCGTTTGTGTTTTTAAATAATATAAAAACGTGTTTAGCACCAATTTTAGTCGATAGAGAGAGTTTACGCGAGAAACTCCGGGGATGAAGGATGTCTGGGAAGGAAATATTCCGGGGGAGCGGGACACGCGCATGCGCCCCCTCTCCTGCGCCCCTGCCCATTCCCGAACCGATTTGACCTGGTTTTGCGAGGGGGATGTCGATCGTGGGAGGCTGTGGAGAATCGCGCGGGAAAATCGAAGAGAATGTATAGAGCTACAGGATTTATAAGGTAGAGTATGTACATAGCTATAAAAGGCATTAAACTAGCAGAAATATGAAACTTTAACATGACAGTTAATATGCAAAATAACTGCTAGTGAATTACGAATAAAAATTCGTAAATTCCGTATATATTTATTTATCAATAAAAAAGTTACATTAATTAATTAACTAATTGGTTAATTAATCAGTATTGTTTGATAAATGACGTGATTTTATTTATGTAACAAATTCATCTAGTTATCATACAAAATTATATAAAACAAAGAAAAACACCTAGTTATTTTTTTGGTTTTTTTCTCGGTTTTTTTTTAAATAGGTTTTCGGAACTCTCACATTTTTTGGAAAAATGTCCCAAAATTTCTTTTCGAAATTTTACGCCGTTTTGGCTCGGATTGCAGCTCGTTTTGACGTGACGGCCTGAAAAAAAAATAAAAAATACGGTAAGAAATGGCTAATAAAATAAGTAAAAATTAAAATAAAAAAAAATAACAAACCTGGAAACCAGATTTGATGGAAGCCACGGAACACCTAGAACCGCAGGTTTCGCATTGCAAAAAGAACAACCTCGTGTCTTTTTGTAATATCGTATCTGGAGAACGACAAGTATGACAGGTCACGTATTCTTTGATATACCTACAAAAAAAATATTAAAAATTCACGCATATCTGACATTCACTAATATTAAATATGACATTACTTTGACATTCTATCGGCCATTTTATCAACACGTTTTGACAATTAATAAAAAGTCCAAACAATTTACCTTAGCTTGACGTTTCTGACCTAATTTTTCCAAATCAACGATCGCATCTATCCACGATTCCAAATTTTCTACTCAATGTTTTAATCTTCACGACCTTAGTAATCTATTTAATAACCCCTTCGAACATCGTACTGACCTTCTCAACACGTTCTCGATTTGCTTCTGCTGAAACCTCCCTTTGATAATCAACTGGTTGTTCCCGTCGACGGACCCGCTGGTACCCAATTCGGCCAGCAGAAAGTCCAACAGATGCTTGGGCTGCCTGTGCAACATCTTGCAGATCTCCGTGAAATTCGCGAACGACGTCTTCTTCGCGCCGATCTTCACCACTTGGGGCGGCCTCATCACGAATTTCTGCTTCTTGCCGGCCGCCATGTCGGGATTCTTGTCGCGCATTATCTCGAACGCCCTGTCCAGCAGCTCGTCGTAGGTGTAGTCGCGATCGGAGTGCGCCCATAAGGCTCGGTTCTCGCCCACTGCGCGAACAAAAAGAAATTTGAACAAATTATACGAAAAAATACAAGGAGGGGGTTAAGGGGCGCGACCCTTTCTAAAGGGTGTTTTATTGAAATCTACTCGACGTGCCGGTTGCAACGAGGGTACACACTTGCTAGTTCTAACGAGAAATTAAGCTTCTACTATACAGGGTGTCTCACAATAAAATTTATTGTTTAATTTACCTGTTTCCGATATAGACTCGACCAAAGCGCAGCATGTAGTAACAAGAATTTATTAAGAAATTTCGAATATTATAAAACGTTTCTTACCATTCTCTTGGTCCTCCTCCTTTTCCTCGGTTTCCGCTATCAATTCGTCCAGATTCTTCGGTTTCTTCGTCTTCTTCTTTTTCTTGCTAAGGCTAAAGTCCAATTCGAGATCGAAGTTGTCCTCTTGGCCGCCATCTTGATCGCCGCGATGGACGCCATCTTGTCGATCGTCGGCCTCCGGTTTGCCGTCGAAGCCGTCTAGATCGTCGGAGGCGGCGAAAGGTTTCTTCTTCTTCTTTTTTTTCGCTTTGGTGAAGTCCAGGTCGATGTCGGCCGCGGAATCGTCCAGATCGTCGGCTGTTTATGTTTTCAAAACGGTTTTGAAAAGTCTTATTAAATAAATGAAGTTGATAAATAATACCTCCAGCCTGCGAATTATTTTCTCCCAAGTCCGCCTCGTTTTCGCCGCCTCCTCCGCCACCGCCGCCACCATCGGCATTCAAGGCTGCATCGATGTCGAAAGTGGTCTTCTTCTTCTTCTTTTTCTTTTTCAAACTCTGATCGAATATCTGAAACGAAAACAACAGATGTAATTATACGAGTTGAATGAAGACAAAGATGTAGATAAAGGGAAAAGGGAAAGGTAAAAAGCGACAAAAAAGCGTGTGAGAGAGAATTATGGAGATTTTTTTGAATGCTTTTAATTACTTTTAAGGACTTCGAAATTTCAGGTAGTTTTAAATTGATTATTAATGTTTGTATTTTAAGCAATTACTGAACTTTAAGAACTGACCGAAATATACCACAAAAACACTGGAAAACGTAAGAAATCATCAAATATTACCAAATTTAACTGAATTGTAATTACAAATAAAAATAACTGTAATAAACAAATTATAAATAAAAAAAAAACACAATCCAAACCGCATCAAATTAATTCGTTTAATTCCATAAAATAAACCCATATGAATTAAAGAAATGAATACGTATATGAAAAAGGTTTATTTGAAGGTTTAAAAGACTATGAGAAGGTTTTTTTGATGATTTTTAATCGATTAATTCGTATTTAGAAATACTCCATATGACTTTAACACAGGCTAATTCAAACAGAAATAAAACTTACCGCTTCATCTTCCGCCATCTTAATATATGAATTAATAGCTAAATTGGATCAGTATTTTTTGATTTTCAGCAGAATATTCCTCAAAAAACCATTCGAAAACACTAAAATAATACTACAAAATCAGTATTGCATCATCTAAAACTCCACATGTAAACGTCAAATGTCAATTGAACTTGAACTGTTTAAGCTGTCAGAACTATCAGAACTGTCAAAATCATAAGGTGCGTTCAGAAAATACATTTATAAAAACCTAAATTATCTTAATTATTAAACAAAACTGATTGATTGGGTTAACTAAAATTGAACTTTATTTAGTCTATCCTAAGATAGCCTAAAAATAAATAATTTCATCACATATAAAGCGAACAATTATTGACGTGACATTTGACATTGACAGCTGTCGTTCGAATCCTCAACCTCAACCATTTCTTTTCCTGTGTACATTCATTTGGGGCAACGATGGTAATTAAATTTGTTTATATATTATCAATCTATGGTGATTTCGAGAAGATTTTTGCGTTAATCGATCAAGTAATGCTCAAATTTTTAATTAATGTAATTATTTTCGTTTCAGTCTGCTCACAAAACCTTCATAATTAAGCGAAAACTCGCAAGAAATTGAAGCAAAACCGGCCCATTCCGCAATGGGTTCGCATGAGAACGGGCAATACTATAAGGTAAATTGATTACTTACCAATTAATTCCGCTATTTAGGAGTCACATTCGTTAATACTGTTTTGTTTGTAGATATAACGCCAAAAGGCGCCACTGGAGAAGGACAAAACTAAAGTTGTAAGGACTCTTCCCAGCTTGTTGTTCGCCTTTTTTAAGCTTATTTTTGGACATTATGATAGAGATAGAATAAAGGAAGAAAATTAAGTAATTTGTGTGCATTTATTTCCATAAATCCACTTGTAAACAACTCGTATTTTTCTAAGTAAATCTGAAGGTGTCAAAGAGGTTATTGAATGTGAAACGTATGGAGAATCTATGGGAATTTCTGAAATTTAATTCAATGACAGTGTAAAATAATCTCCATTTAATCATAACCAAATTTGCATTTTCTATTTATGCACAGAACACAAATTTATCAAATTTACGTTTAATGTACCTATTAAAAAAAAGGTCAATTTTTACACTTATGAAATTAACAACAGTTCCATTTCGACACTTAAAATTATTTTGTTAAAATAAAACCTTAATAATAGTCCACAAAACACCAAGTTCTAATACTCGAAACGCAAAATTCAAAACCCGTACTTCGACCTACTAGCCAATCGGTTATTCTTACTGGCAGCCCAAGCGTTCTTCAAATCCTGCTCGTTAGCCCTGGCCTGCTGCGCCAAATACGTAATGTGATGTTTCTTCCTCTTCGTGGGATCCACGGGATCCTCTACGGCCGCCTTGGGAGCCATCTCGGGATCGGTCATCGCTTTGGCCATCCAGAGATCCTTATCGGCCAGTATTTCCTCCTCGTTAATATCGATCAACTTAATATTGCCTACAGGTCGTTTGGATTTACCGATGAGGTCTTTGAACGCCTGGTTATCCAGCCCTTCGTACGGCTTCTCCGGCTCCGGGGCGATGTTTACGAGCTCTTCGGGTTGCTCTATTAAAGGTTCTTCGACTACTCGTTTGGGTTTAGGCCTTCCACAGACTTTTTCCCACATGGCGTCGTCGAATGTTTCGGGTAATTCCGATTCATCTTCAGTATCGGAGTCGTTCGGTTTAGGTATATTCGATTTAGTGATATTTCTGTTGATCGGTTTAGGTTTCGGTTTAGTAACATTCCGGGGGATTAATGTGGAAGGAGTGGGTTTCTTTTTAGTTGTTAGAACTTTTGGTACGAAGCTCGTGGAGGTTTTAATGGAGCCTCTTACTGGAGGTAATATAGCTATTAAACCGCTGCCTGCTGGTGACGGTTTGTTTCTTTTCGTCGAAGGTTCATCTTCATCAGAATCTTGATCATTTTGAAAGTCTGATAGAGATGGAATGGTTATTTTGACTTTCGGCTTGACTTGGACCGGTTTAGGTACGAAATCTTCGATTACATGTTCCGGGATTTCGATGGTTTTGAAGCTCTTCGTGTTCGGCAAAGAGGAAAAAATATTTTTATGCGCGTTCGTTTCTTTATTATTGGTAATTTGAGTAGTATTCTGTGTTGGAGTTTCTTCTACTTCGTCTTCACTTGCGCTATCGTAATCATATGAAACTAGGGCCATAATTTGTTAACCTAAAAAAGTAGACTGAAATGAATTGGTTTCACTTTTATGCTTACAAAAAGATTATTTGTGATAAATTTTATTTATATTTACCTAAAATTACATAAAACTGTCTTAAATTATTCGAAAAACATTACTATTTATAAATTTACGTACTCAAAACAAATTCTGAAGTTGTCACTTGTCACTAAAGTCTAAAGTCACTTTCTTCTTCTTATTTCCAAATATCAAAAAAATATACTGAGTGATTCAAAAGTTATAGGCATAGACAAAATAAAAATCTTTCTTTCTCTATGGTTATAGGTGTCGAAAGAAATGGGCCAAATTCAAAAACACCCTGTAACTCGGTTATAAAGGGCGCAAGACCCATATAGTATATGGGTTTTTTGTAATCCCCTGGGTGACCTCTACATAGGATTAAAATATTGCCCTTTCCCAATGAAACACCCTGTAGATGTACATGTTTCTATGGGCTCTGTACTTGCCCATCAAGCTCGTGCCCATGCAAACCAAGTTCCCATTCATTTGCCTGAACTGGATGAAGCACCCATTGATTTGCCTGTAGAGCGAATTGGATTTATGGTGGGACTTGCGGAAATTCCGATTTACGGCATCGAAATTTGGATACGTATACAAACGAAGATTGTTTAATGAGGAACTCATTAAACAATTTACTTCAAGAGGAGAATCTCTTTCCCATGTTGCAGTCATCACGCACGGACAGAAGTACGAAGTGGTTGCCGCCGAATATTTCGTAAGGCAAAATTTAAATGTAAAATTTTTTAAATGTGGGCTCATTATCCATCCATATGCGCTTCATTTGGGAGCTAGCCCTAATGGGATTATTTTCGACACAAAGATCGATAGTTATGGTCTCTTAGAAATTAAGTGTCCTTACAGCAGTAAGGCAAACAATTTATATGAATACTTAAATTTAAAAACATTGTGTTTAAAAAAAATCAAAATAATGTCCCAAAATATTTCCAGGTGCAGGGACAGATGTTGGTGTCTGGGTTAATATGGACTGATTTTATAGTATACATTGCGAAAATTTGCGAAAACCGAAGAAGTTGTTCATGAACGTAATAATTTTGATTTGGAATTTTGTGAAAAAATGTATCATACTTTGACAATATGTTATGAAAAATGTATAAAAAATATTTAGTAATTATGTATGTATGTAATGTAAATAATGTAAACAATGTAAATATGTAAATAAATATTGTTATTGTTCTAATGTAATCTATTACAATTTTTGATTTTACAGATCGCTAAAGAAACAATAAATTATACAAAGTATATACCAAGCAAATATTATATATCACATATAAAAAAATAATTGTTAATATTTAAGAATAAAAGTCTCTTAAATTCCCTCTTTCCTCCTTATAAAATACTAACTCATCATACATTATTATATCTAATAGACAGTCTACTTTTTCAATTAGTATAAAATCTCTTTTGGTCCTGAAATTATAGATTTCGGTTACTCTATTAGGGCATACTTAAAATTGCACAATAAGGCACACACTGTGTAAATTTGGTTCATCGAACCCAAATATGATATTGGAATTTTGGTTAGTGATAATATTCTGTATGTTTTTAATCTGCCTATAGCTCGTTCAACGTGTATTCTTTCTTGTGCTATTTTTCTGGTGGTTTCTACTTCAGCACTTGTAAATTGTGTGCCTCCTATTCTAAACACAGGGATATTTAAATTAAGATTTATGCTTTCGATTAAATTTTTAACATTAAATCCTTTGTCCGCTAATATGATATCACCAGGTAAGATGGAACCTTCATCCAATTTTTCCTTTAAAATTGCCATAAACCCACTCTTTTCTAATATTGATTTATCTGATATGGGTCCTGTAAATAAAGGAGATATGTAAATTATGGCCCCACCAGGTTCAATCATTAGCAAGGATTTAAGAGTTGTTGTTGATTTATAATTAGAGTAACACTGGGTTTGTTTAACAAATGAAGATGAACTTTGTATAAATAATTCTGTACAGTCAATGCTGCCAATAATATTGGGATATTTCTCTAACATATTGGCAGAGGCTCGCTCTATCAAGACATTCCTATTAGGCCATATATTTAAAGAACCTAATCTCAGATACATTATATTGATCCAAGTTATAAAAATATTATTCACAGTTGCTTTGGATATGGAGAATAAATCTGATAATGTCTCAATGCTCATCCCTCTTTTTAGCCTTAGAAGTGTCAGAAAAAATTGATTTTCGGCAGATACTTTTGTAATATGATTCCTAGAGGTAGTTCTTGAATTGTAATAGTTAATATCATTTGTATTACCCGATGGTAATACCCATTGAAACACCATTAACAAAATACTATAGGTTTGAAATCCTGTGTAAAACAATATTTTCCTATCATCTGCTGCAAACTTTGATAGGTTAAATACTGATTGTGGTTTGGAGTTTTGTTGTAACCTCTCATTTTCTTTTTTTAAATAAGAAACTTCCTTTTCTAGTATTTCAATTGTTCTCAAATATGAAACACATTGGCTACAGGGAATCCTTTCATCATTTTCTTCGGATATATTTTCCATTGAAATCGTATCTTCTCTCTAAAAAAATATTTATTGTACAACGTAATTTATTTGACGAGAGTCAAATGTATTAATTAAAATAACTGATTTTTGATTAAGTTTTTGATTTTTTTTTATTAAGTAATTACCTTTGGATTAGTTGTATTTGTTTCAGTTGTATTTTCAATATCAACTTTATCTAAGGTCCATTCCATTTTTATTGGAGATTTAATAAATTTAAC